AACGAGCGATCAACAATGAAACTTGTATGGTTAGTTGATGCGGATCTTTGAATTGTTGTTTTTTTTTTGAATTTTTTGTTCAACATGAGTAGTGATGAATTGTCGTTATGAGGTATTGCTGAATCATTGTGTTGTATCTAAAATATAGAATAGCAGTGCTGGGAAACTGAGAGTGAGATGTGCTAAGAGTAATGTTAACAGAGGCATCGATTTGTAGCTGGTTGCATCTGCGCCGAATTTCCCCACAGGCACGGTCGATAACATTGAAGCGATCTCTGAGGTTAGTCCCTTTTTGCTTATTCGCTTTATTCAACTTCATCGTGATTAATTTTAGAAAGTTGAACAGATGAGCGATACACTTTATTGAATGCCCATTTTTAGATTACCTCAAAGATTATAAAGGGTATGAGTGTAAATACGAGTGTATTGTGCATTTCAGATTAGAATTGATCGAAAGAGTTGACCTTTGCAAGTTCTAAATGATGATTGTTGAAAATCCAGTTCTTAATCCAAGCTTACGAACCATCAACAAATAAAGAAGTGCTCATGCAATTAATTATGTTTGAGTAACATTTCATTAATCGCACACGATTTAGTTAGCACAACGTTATGGTATACCACTGCACGTAGATGCATGTCTTGGTGGCTTTTTGTTACCATTCATGGAAAGATGCGACTTCCCGTCACCAGCGTTCGACTTCCGTGTTTCGGGTGTTACCTCGATCTCGGTCGATACACATAAATACGGTTTTGCACCGAAAGGTTCGTTTGTTTACAGTCATCATTTGTTCGTATCGTTCACGTCGATCGCTCGAACCATATGTAAATGGTGCTGAAAAATGACTTTACAAGTGGAAACCTAAAATGCATTCATTTTTAACGGTCAGTAAGGCAACGGGAAATGAATAGAGTATTTGCATAGTTCCGGAGTGTCTCCAACAAAATATTAAATCATAACATTCATTTGAAAAATCTCTAGCACATGACCCATATCGGCGACGTCTATGGATCTATTAACGTTTATTTGTGTTGACGAATCAAGTTGTTGTTAGTTTATGAGCCACACTGATCAAGTTGATTCAATTTCAATATGCTTTGATTATGCTGTTAAGGTACATCGTTGATTCTCTATCGTGAAATCAGCCTTCTACACCATCAGTATTTTTGCAACGGGGATTGGTCGGGTGGTATATACGCGACACCAACCCTCAGCGGTACTCGTAATGGTTGTGCTATCGCGCTTTCATGGGCAACACTACTCTATTATGGCAGACATCGGTTTGTTCCGT